CAAGACAATAGTGTCTGGGTGTGATGAAAATCTGATGCAATCACAGATGATGCAATATTTTTGAAGGCCAAACAAATTTCATCATACACCCCAAAAATAGATTCATATTACTGCACACCACTGCAAGTGACCTAATCTGAGGAAAAATAGAAATCGATTACACCCTTTCATTCCAGGGGGTCTAAAATTGAATGTATGGTGAAAGAAAGGAAACTAAAGTGGTTGTTTCAATTAATTTGCACAAGGGTATATGACAGCTTTGAAGTTTTGGGTCAGAGTACAACTGCAAAAATGTTATGACTATAACAATCAAGATGCAGACCCGAGTTCAAATAAAGCAATATATAATGATTAATGTTCTTCATTTTAGAAATTCAGACAGAAATTATGGATAACAAATTTGACAGGAATAAAATTTTAGTCATATGATTATAAGTGATAACAAATTCTCTTCAGGATGAAGATGATTATGGCTCTCCACAGATTCCTTTTCTTTATTATTTGTAAATTGTCCTGATTATTGGGAATGACAGTGAAATGATTTTATATCACTGTCTCCTTGGTTTTGAATTCAGAGTAGTCCTTTTCATAGACTGGCTTGATTGATTCATTTTTTATGGATTATCAACCCATTGCAGGACATTTAAAGCGAGAATTATTTTATTAGATTGTGAGAAGTTTTTGAGATAATAAGAATTTAGTAATACAAATCTTAATAATTAACCTATAGATGGGGAGAAGAGTTTTATTCATACTTTTTCTAAAGGTATTTTTTCATAAGTGAATATAACAAACCCAACTGGAATTGGAACTCAGTTCACTGTTTAAAAATTCTTAGCCATTATCTGTTATACCACCTGAACATCCAAGCTTACTCACCTGGTATTCCTAATTCATGTATCTAGGTACTGACCAGGCTCAATATTGCTTAACTTTGGTGATTGTATAGGAACTGGTGGTTCAATGTGATATGGCTGTAAGCCTGTAACAGGCAAGATGCAGACCCCAGTTCAATTAAATCAGTGTATAATGATCGAAATTTTTCATTTTAGAAATTCAGAGTGAAATTATGGATAATAAATTTGATAGGAATAAAATTTTAGTTATATGAATATGTGATAACAAATTCTCTTCAGGATGTAGGTGATCATGGCTCTCTACAGAATCCTTTTCTTTATTACATGTAAATTACCCTTATTGTCAGGAATGACAATGAAATGGTTTCCTATCATCTCCTTGGTTTTGAATTCAGAGTAATCATTCTCAAGGACTGGCTTTAGATCATACTTAGCCTGCTATTTAACTCATAGCAGTGGCAGAAAAAAATGGATTCATGCCTTTCCAAATGTCAAGGAAAATGAATAGGCTGTAGTAACGGTAGTTTTTCACAACACTACATGTTGCTGTAAAGCCAAAACACCAACCTGAAAACTCAAGCCATATAGTTAAATACTCTTGTCAAATTGAGAATTTCATATTGATGGCACCAAACTCATTCAGAAATATCTAAACTATCAGTTGCAGTTGTATACAAGCACCTTCCCAGATCAATGGTTAAAAATGGTTTTGAGTGATTGAAGACTGTAGGCTTTCAATAGAGACTATCCTTGTACAAACCTTGTAGACTGGCACTACAAAACCACAAAGAACAGTACCAGATAACAGAAACAACTTCACTTAAGGACTTTCAACAGCTGCAGCAACTAAAATGGATATGACATGTAACTCTAAAAAATAAGGACACTATTTACATTATTCGGACTATTGTCCTCATCTTTGTCGCCATATTTATTACAATGTTTTGGCCATTATATGTTCCAGCCTTATTCAGGTGGTTGGAATGTCAAACTGAACCCTTTATTTCGCTTGCTGGGGTAGACTGTTCTAGTTCCACATGCCATGTCTAATGGATGTCAGTTATCAGTTATCTCCTGCTTAACTCCCTCTCCAAGTTCTCCACCACCTTAACCAGGTATTGAACTCACACTCTTTGGGTCCTGTCACTGGATCTAACTAACCTCCTTATCCACTCTGCCATGTGACATTCCATCCACCTGAAGAAGGCCAGAGCATACAATAGCCGAAAGATTGTAATAAATATGGCAACAAAGATGAAGACAATAGTCTGAATAATGTAAATAGTGTACATAATATCTCATCTCAGAAATATAGACAGATATATATATATATATATATATATATATATATATATATTCATTGTATATTCATAATTATTTTAATGACTTGTTGCTGCTTATCAAGCTGCTCTTTGATATCTTTTGGCTAAAAAAAAGCATGAGTCTTGATGTCATAAAAGTTTTCGACACTTGAATCTGGTTTCATACGAGAAAGTGTTCTCCATCAAAGCCTTTTGCTGCAATCAAAAAAATGTAATAATTATTTGGTATATGTTTCCTTCAATCCTCCATGCCTGATGCTACTGTCAAAAGTAAATTATTTTAGTGAACTCCTAATTTCTTCTTAGTCAGTCAGTTATGTGCCATGCATGATACATGCATAAGCGATCATGTATCTTTCAATACATGACTGATGAGGCAGATTTTTTCCCGCAGTAGGTTGCCATTTCTTTCTGCGGTAGAAATGTCTTTATTCTTATGTTATTATTCTTCAGTATCTGTGTATATTTCTGAGATGAGGTATTATGTACACTATTTACATTATTCGGACTGTTGTCCTCATCTTTATCACCATATTTATTACAATGTTTCGGCCATTGTATACTCCAGCCTTCTTCAGGTGGTTGGAATGTCACGTGGCACAGTGGATAAGAGTGTTAGTTAGATCCAATAACAGGATCCAAAGTGTATGAGTTCAATACCTGGTTCAGTCAGTGGAGAACTTGGAACAGGAGATAACTGATAACTGACATCCATTAGACATAGCACGTGGAACTAGAACAGTCTACCCCAGTGAGTGAAATAAAGGGTTCAGTTTAACATTCCAACTGTGTACAACAGCTGAAACGTTGTAATAAATATGGCGACAAAGATGAGAACAATAGTCCAAATAATGTAAATAGTGTACTTAATACCACATCTCAGAAATATAGACAGATACTGAAAAATAAGGACATAATGAAGATGTTGAAATTCCACGCAACTTTAAGCAAAAGATTAGGAAGGAATTCTTCATTAACACTGGAACAATCAAAAATAGTTAGTAGACTTAAAAAACTTATTCTACCAAAAAATTGTTTTAAAAGGAAAATAACTGAAAACAGAAGGTGTTTGGTCAATGAATATGAAATGCTTCTCATGAGGAATGATTTCAGCCCAATAGCCAAGGAGTGAAAAAAAGCATAACTCAAGTAGCACTGGCTGCTCAATTAATGAATGTTGAATATTTCTTTATAAGGAAATGGTTATCATTACTATTACCATTAAACATGTGGAAAACAGATATTTTGGTTTGGTTTGGTTTGTTTTACATCATATCAACCTCAATGGGTTTTTTAATGCCTACAAGATTTTTATTGCTGGTAATATTCTTTTTTCAAAAATGTATTGCTGTAATAATTTTTCCTTCAAAAATTAATTGCTTTTTTGGTTTGTTACATTTTACAGCATATCAACCTCAATGGGTTATTTAATGCTGACAAGATTTTTATTACTGGTAATATTTTATTTTTAAAAATGTATTGTTGGTAATATTTTTTTTCAAAAATATATTGCAGGTAATATCATTTTTTTTAAAAACATGTATTGCTGGTATTAAAACATATTTTTATAGTTTTACAGTTTGTTGACTCCTTGGGTGGGAGTTAACTATTTGCCCATAGCTGGGGCCCTGACAGGTGCTACCACCCCAGGTCAGAGTGGACCTGGGAACACCAGCAATTAAGAGGTGGTTCCATACACCTCAAAACTTTGCTGTTGGCTGCTTGGTCATTGAATGCCAAAAGTTACCTCATGAGGATATGGCTAATATTAGTATTATCATTAGGGATGAGGAGAACAGATACTATGCTTTGATCTCATCCTGATGGCCAGAGAGGGAGAAAAGGCATAACTTAAGTAGCATTGGCTGCTCAGTCAATGAATGTTAAATGTTTTCTTATAAGGAATTTTTAGTGTAAAAATGAACATATACAAGGCTGAAATTTAAATTTCACTCTCTGAATCTGTTTTTGCACTAATAACCACTATACTAACTTTGAGAATAGTAATAATAAAAATAATAGTGTACCATTTTAATTGTAACTTGAGGAGCATTGGCTGCTTGGATACTGAATACCAAAAATTACCTCGTAAGGATATAGCTGATATTACCATTATCAATAAGGATGAGAAGAACAGATACTACGCTTTGATCCCATCCTGATGGCCAGGGAGGGAGAAAAAGCATAACTGGCTGCTCAGTCAATGAATGTAAAATATTATCTTATAAGGAATTTTAGTGTAAAAATGAATATATCACACAAGGCTGAAATTTGAATTTCACTCTCTAAATCTGTTTTTGCACTGATAACCACTACACTAACTTTGATAATAGTAATAACAAAAATAATAGTGTACCATTTTAATGGCTATTATTATTTCTTGAAAAAGTTAAGACTGATAATACAAGACTGTAAAAAATGTTATGTATAATAAGAGTATCTGGGAAAATACATTCAGGGAAAAGCCCGGAAATTAATTTTACAGACTTTTTCTTTTATTCATTCTTTCTCTTCGACTGAATCATTCCTTAGCCTTGTCAATCAGTTTTGTCTGTCTTGCTAGTCATTTTCCAATGGGTCTCTCCCTCTGTAGCGATTCACCCTTATCACATTCAAAGCTTAATATTGATTGGGTATTGATCTGAACGATAACCTCAATATCTGAAAGATTTCTCTCAACATTGGTTCATGAGAACCAAGACAGAAATAACGTTTTAATTCAAAAGAGTAATTTTTTTTTATCTTTTCGTTTAACTATTTATTTGCAACATTTTTTCTTCTTTTTTTTTAGTGGTGTGGAGGGAGGTCATTATCTTAGGCTATGCACTATTTCTTCTTCACTTTTTTATTCTCAGATGTATTTTCCTTCATTCTTTGCTTTTTTCATTCTTTTTCTTCATCTGTTTCCCTTCATTGTCTTCTTTTTTTATTCTTCTGCTGTATTTTCCTTTATTCTTTTCATTTTCTTTTTCTTCATCTGTTTCCTTTCATTTTCTTCTATTTCTTCTTCTGTTGCATTTTCCTTCTTTGTTTGCATTTCTTCTTTTTCTTTATCTGTTTCCATGCATTGTCTTCTTTTATTCTTCGACTGTATTTTCTTTCATTCTTTACTTTTCTTCTTCTTCTTCGTCTGTTCCCCTTTCTTTTTTTGTTTTCTTCTTTTTCTACTTCAGCTGTATTTACATTCATTATTTGCTTTTCTTTTCTGTTTCTTTCATCTATTTCTGTACATTGTCTTCTTTTCTTCTTCTACTGTACTTTCTTTCATTATTTGCTTTTCTTCTTCATCTGTTTCCCTCAATTTTCTTCTATTTCTTCTTCAGTTGTATTTTCCTTCATTTTTTTGCTTTTCTTTTGTTCATCTTTTTCACTTCATTGTCTTCTTTTCTTCTTCTGCTGTATTTTCCTTCATTCTTTAATTTTCTTTTCTTCATCTGTTTTCCTTCACTGTCTTCTTTTTTTCACTTGTATTTTCCTTCATTATTTGCTTTACTTTTTTTCTTCTTCATCTGTTTCTCCTTCATTTTCTTTTTCTCTTTCATCTGCATTTTCTTTCATTATTTGCTTTTCCTTTTTCTTCATTTGTTTCCCTTCATTTTCTTCTTCAGATGTATTTTCCCTCATTTTTTTTGCTTTTCTTCTTTTTTTCATGTTTCCCTTTATTTTCTTCTTTTTCTTCTACAGCTATATTTTCTTTCATTCTTTTGTTTTTTTTCTTCATCTGTTTCTCCTTCATTTTCTTCTCTTTGATTTTATTATTTTTTTTTCTTCTTCCTGGCCTATTAGCCTCTCACATATTTCTCCTTCCCTTTGCTCTTTTAATTTATTTTCCCTTCTGTGCCATACTTTTTTTGTTCTTCCTTGTCTTTCATTTTTTTCTTATTGAATTTATCATTTCTTCATTTTTCTTCACCTATAAAATTATACTTTTCTCTTTTTAAATTTTCATTTTTTCTTCTTTCTATCCTGTGAATTTCTTCTTTGAATTCATTGTTTTGTTTTTCCTTACCTTCAAATTTCTTCTTCTTCACCTGTAATTTTTTTTATTTGATTTTCTTTTTCTATTTCTCTTTGAATTTACATTTTTTTTCTTTTTGGCCTGCATATTTGTCATATATCTCTCTGCATCCATGGTCTGGAAATTGTTTTTTTTCCCTGCTATTCTTTTTGTCTTTTGAGGCAAATCACCCTTATTCCATTAGTAACGAGTAAGTTCCAACTTCGATAATCTCTTCCCAAGAATTGTTGCTTTGTAGCACAGAATCCCTAGAGGATGCTTTCCCAACAACTACAATATTAACCACTTTAAGTCTAAGGTTAACTATTATCTTTCCTTTATATCCATACAAAATTCACCCCTTATTTTTACCACTCTTACAACAATTGGTTTTAGTAACTCTCTACCTTAGGTGGCCCTTGGGCCTTGTATAGGGTGAGCATAAAAAAGAAAAATTATCTGGAGTCATGAAACACACTGGTTATTCCATATGTCACTGCTCAACTTTTTGAAGTTTTTAACCCTTCCAAAAATTCTAATGTGTGGCCATGCAACTACTGTTTTCGAGAACTAGGTCAAGCTGTGAACTTTTCAGCACCCCTTGTATGCATGGCAGTATCTGTTTTAATATGATGATGTCCTGCTCTGAGATTTGGGGTTTCCAGGAAAGTAACTCATTACACCTTTCTGATCTAATGTTTTTCATTGATATGGTGATTTTCTCAGTGTAGCTTAGATGTGGCATAAGGCTGAAAGTGTGGGGCACCCAGTGAGGATCAACAATGATTTTCTAAGTGTAGATGTAGAACTGTGGACCACCCAGTGAGATTTGAACACACGACTCAGTCATAATTGATCTTGTGAGACAAGTTTGCTAACCATTACACAACATTGAAGTACTCATGTCGTCCACTGATATGAACTGAAACAATTATATCAAATCAATTATTAAGTCTGGTGCTTGGAAAGTTGTTTCACTGTGTTGTGCTGGACAATTTTTTCTCACCAAAATTTATCTTGCAGATTTATAAGTCATCCATTTGTCTGTGCATTAAATTTTGCTGCCACTGCTATGTATTTAGAGATTCTTGATAAAATTCAAAGAAGAATCCACAATGTTATCAGTGATGAGCTGGCATCTTAGCTTCAATCACTTCCCACCACTCTAAGGTAGCTTCCCTGTGCCTTTTCTATAAATATTTTCTTGACAATCTACTGCATGAATTTAAGTCTAATACTAGATTAGCAGTTAAGTATTGTCATTTTACTCTTTAAGTTATTAGATTTAAACATAAGTTCTATGCTAATAGTTTCTTCTCTTAAAATAAAGACTATATATAAACACTTTAGTACTTCAACTTTACAAATTTAAGCATAGTAATAGATTGGCAGCTTGTAAGAGATTGGCATGTTATTTGAGACTGCCAGTTGTAACCATAAGTTCTATGCTAACAGTTTCATCATTTTCTCTCCTCACTTGTGGAACTCTCTTCTGGCTTCTTACTTTTCAGTCAACAATAATCTTTAAAAATTTAAACACAATGTTAAATGTCATCTGCTGTCTTCTTGAATCCTGTTCTTTTATTGACCTCTCTCCTTAATAATATTTTTCTCATATTCTTTCATTTTCAGTAACCCCTTACATCTTAGTGGCTTTATCACCTTGCTTAGGGTGAAATTGCTTTTCTTTTTTTTTTTCATGGTTTCCTTTATTTTCTTCTTTTTCTTCTTCAGCTATATTTTCTTTCATTCTTTTGTTTTTTTTTCTTCATCTGTTTCTCCTTCATTTTCTTCTCTTTGATTTTATTATTTTTTTTTCTTCTTCCTGGCCTATTAGCCTCTCACATATTTCTCCTTCCCTTTGCTCTTTTAATTTATTTTCCCTTCTGTGCCATACTTTTTTTGTTCTTCCTTGTCTTTCATTTTTTTCTTATTGAATTTATCATTTCTTCATTTTTCTTCACCTATAAATTTATACTTTTCTCTTTTTAAATTTTCATTTAATATTTTTCTCATATTCTTTCACTTTCAGTAACCCCTTACATCTTAGTGGCTTTATCACCTTGCTTAGGGTGAAATGCTTAAAGAAAAAAAAAAAAAAGAATTCACTGATCACATTCATCGCTCTCCCTTCTTCCCCTCCTCCTTTTCGTTCCTTTTATCTGACAGTAAATACAAGTTTAACTTTCACCTGTGTTGATGAGTTGGTTGCCCTGGAGGGAAAACAAGTCAGCACAGCTCGATGTTGAGCTGCTTTTAGATTGTGACTCACGAGTGCATCTCTTCCTGCCTATAATAAGGATTCCCTACTTTTCCATGTTAAATCCAAACCAAGTGTCAATATATTGATTCAATGTTTACTTACTGCAGCCAGACCAGATGGTATCCTAAAATGCAATTACATACTAAGTGTGCAGTTATGCTTTGATGATATATTTACCTTTACAGCTCATGACATTTGAATATATTCTTGCCTTGAGCCAAAAATGAATGCAACATTAATGGTAGAAGACTTTTTGAAAAAAAAAATTCATTCTTCAGAGTTATATTTTATTGTTTTCTAAAACAAAATAAAAAAAAAACACTCTAAAAATTGCTGTTACATTTGTTACAATAATTCTTTAATTTAACTGATCTTACATTTAGTTTTAACTGATGTTACATTTGTTACATTAAATTCTTCCGTTTTAAATGATGTTACATTTGTTATATTACATTCTTTCATTTAATTGCTGTTATATCCCAATCTTTATTTTTAATTCATGTTACATTTGTGACATTAAATTCTTTAATATTAATTCATGTTACATTTGTGACATTAAATTCTTTAGTTTTAACTGATGCTAAATTCATTGCATTACAAAAAATTGTTAATGCAATATTCATTTGTAAAATAGTAGAATTATTCTTACAATCCAAAATATATAAAGGTTGATAAGCCATAAAAAAATAAATCAATTAATCAACAATCACCTAATTCAAGAATGTTATTGCCCTGTATGGGCTGGAACTGATCATTCCTTTCATTCACTGTAGATGATCTAGCAATTAAAGCACTTTCTATACATTTATCTCTTAGTAAATTGCTTTCTCTTTTAATTAAAATAGCATTTTTTAAATCAAAATTATGGTCAAACTCATTTTGGAGAGCAACTAATACAATGAGTGTGTTATTTTGGAGATGAGCCCTTCTGAGTTCATATAATCATTTATTTAAATTCTTTGCAATTTCGCCTATGTATTCCTTGTGGCAATCATTACAGGTGATAGAGTAAAATTCTCCTTCAAGTTTTAGCTTATTACTATTTTGTTTTTTATTCATTAAGTCTTATTGTTTTAAAAGTAGTTGTAAAAAATTTATGATAAGCTTGTAGTTGGGATACAGTTAGTGGATAGAACATATATTTAAAAAAAAAAGAAATTTAAATTTAAAATTTCAGTGTCCACTCGCCTTCATGATCATGTGCAATCACATCAAGGTAAACATCATTTTAGTCTGAGGTAATACTAAATAACAAAATGCATTGCATGAAAACATTTTTCCACTTTGTCATATATTTTCCTAAAATTGTTCTTAATATATAAAAATTTATATATCATTTTCCCAAAGAGTAACATGAATTTTTAATTATAAATAAATAAAAAAGATATAAGAAATATATTTCATTAAAACAATATCTAATATAACATAATAAACTATTATTTTAGTATTTTAACTGTTAATATGGTTTCCATGATGCTCGAAATCTTCATCAGTATTTTTCCATTGATATTCTTAACTTTTCTACTCTTTTGACTTTAACATTAATTGCACAAGTTTTTACTGCTTCAACACCCCCCACTTACCACTAATTCAGGGATTTTGTCTGATCAAAATTGATAAATTCTGTATCAATTTTTCAATTGCTGTCAAAGTTAAATTTTAAATTTCTAATTCTGACATGAACACAGTCTATACACCGAGGTTGAATAAGACTAACAAAATTCTCGTAGGTTGAAATAGATCTATACCTGCCTCCATATGAGGTAATTTTGTATTTTGTTGTGTAATATATATATATATATATTTTTTTTTTTTTTTTTTAAGCATTGTGCCCCAAGCAAGGCGTGAAGCCACTAGGATGCAGGGGGTTTGAAGATTTGAGAGCAGATAAGAGTGATAGGAGAAAGGAAGAGGAGAAGGATAGTGGGTAGATCATGGTAATTGGAGATGTCGATTGACATTACATTTGAATAGTTGGAGATTATAGCTTTCAGGAAACAGTAATTGGGGAGGGTGTTCCACTGGCGAGAGGTGCGAGGTATGAAGCTATTGGAGTAGAAGAGACGGCTACATTTGAAGGTTTCTATGGTGTAAGGGGTGAGAGCGGGATGCCAGCCTCGTAGGGCGCTTTGAATACATGGAGTCTGGGAACCAGAGAGAGCAGCTCATCAGAGCAGTTACCATGGAAGTATTTGTAGAAAAGACAGAGAGAGGCGACGGCGCGTCTGTGAGAGAGTGACTGCAAACAAGACGCTAGATCAGGGCCAATTAGATTACATATCCTTCTCTGGATCTTGTCGAGAACTCCGAGGTAAGCAGAAGGTGCTCCAGCCCATATATGGCAGCAATACTCCATGCAAGGGCGAATGGTTGTTTTATATATTTGAAGTATCGATTCAGGGAGAAAAAATAATCCTGGCGCTGCACAGAGAGCCAACTTTCCTCATGCGGTGGAAGAAGCAATTGACTCAATGTATTTGTTCCATCTCAGGTCAGCAGTCAGCGTGAGACCGAGCAGACACAGGGAGTTGCTCTCAGGAAGTTGACTATCAGACATTTTAATGGGGGGCAGGGAAGGATCTCTATGGTGGTTAATGGAGAGTAATTTAGTTTTAGTGGCGTTAAA